TAAGTTTTATTAAAATAAGAACATAATAAAGTTTTCCATTTTAACGTTAAAAATTTGACAACCATTAACATTTTTGTGATGAGAAAGTTGTGAATCATAAGTAAGTTGTGATAAAAATGTCATCGCAGGCCCAGCTGTCTCGGTCGACCGTGGCGGAGGAGGCGAACCTCGCTGAGATCCAACGGCTGTCCTGTAGCGCGGCGGAGCTGCAGGCCGAGCTCGCGTTCCGGCCGACGCGCGCCGACATCGACGACCTCACCTCCGTGGTGGCCGCCCTGCGCGCCGAGCTGCTCGAAAAGCAGCGCCAGGTGGACGCGCTGCAGGCCTCGTTGCACAGAGACGTCGCCACGTTCGACAAGGCGATCGAGACCTCGCGCTCGCTCGAGCGCCTCGACCGCATCGCCCGCCCCGACCCCGCATTGGATGCGCCCATCGACCCCACCAAGATCTCGGCGGAGATCGACGAGATGTTCCAGCTGGATTACGACGACGACGAGGAGACGGACTCCGCCGCCACCGAGATCAACCGCGGCCCCAGCGAACCGCCGCAGGCCGACACGAGCCTCGGAGGCGAATACGTGCGGCTGGGTGACGAGGAGCGTCTGCAAGTGACGCTGCAGAACGGCACGCTGCACGCGCTCGAGGAGGAGCTGGTGCGCACCAAGGAGAAGTGGGCGGAGGTGTGCGCCGAGCGCGCGCGCCTCGCCGCCCAGCTCGCTACCCTGCAGAACAAGCCGTTGCGGCTCGACGCCTCGCACGGTCTGGCGCTACTGCTGCCCATCGCGCTCGCCTGCCTCTACTACCTCCTGCAGCCCTACATCTCCTGATTGACGGCCTCGTGGGACCCACCCGGGTACGCTTAGCGTCGCCTCACGCCCGCCCCAGTGCAAGACTTCCTCACAGGATCCAGTTCAAATTATTGCTCACTATTTTATTTGGTACGCGGCGCTCGTACCGACCCCGTCTTTTCCTGTGGTCGGCAAAAAAGTGATTGGATATTTTTGGGTTTAGGATTATTTAGTATAATATAAAAGGGGTGGTAGTGCGGGCGGCACGCGAGCCTGAGCTTACCGTAGAGTGCCATTTGCTGTGAGGGGAGGTCGCGACGCCGGAGTGCGGTTCGTTCTATTGTTGCATGTATATTGTTTAGTTTTTTTTCTGTAAAAACGTCGGTATCGTATTGAGTATAAAAAGAGAAAATATTAAATTCGTTGTTGATATCTGCCATAATAACTGTATATTGTTAATGTTAAGGCCTAACGACTGTCTAAGTTGTAATAAATTATTGTTCTACGAGGTCTCTATATATCTTTAAGCAAATTCTCTGTGGAACGATATATTGGAGGTGGAATGAATCTAGCAATATGTGTCTTGTTGATTATAAACTATAAGATACTTTATAGTGTGTTCATTTGTACTGTTGTGTAGGTCGCCGCCGCACATATCACGTTGTCCGGGCGAGGCGGGGGCCGGAGCCGGGACTGGGGCGGGGGCCGGGGCCGGTAATGAGGCCGGATTTGGGGCAAAGCGCAGATATCGCCTTTAATGTACATTTTGAAATTGTTTGCATTTTCTAGTCTTTAGTATCGGTTTATATTTGATTGCATGACGTTTTACATCTTGCAGTTTACCGGAGCCAAGGTTTTAAGCCGATGGATGAGAAGATTCGTTATACGCATATTTGACATATTCTATACTATGTCTTGTTTACTTTAGTTTGAGATTTTATTTGATTGAAGATCTTATCTATAAAGATTATCTAAATTGAGCATGGGATTATGGATTTCGATTCTATTGATTTTTTTATTTTGTATGAAGTTGACTATATGAACGAAAAAATCCATTAATGATGGGGTTTTGTTCTGATTTCCCACAAATATCTCGTGCGTATACTTGCTCGAATGATATAATTGGCCTAATTTTTTTTACAAATAATAAAGATGGATAATATTCGAAATTAATTTTGAAAATTTTATGAGCTAATGCATCTTTTTTGTTATAATATATTTTTTCGTATTTCATTTAAAATCTCGTTCTAAATTGTACAATGGTTTATTGAATGAATGTTTTTCTTTTCATTAAAGTGGCAGTTAGGGCCAAGGTACGAGACGATAGAGCCAGTGACATGGTTTTTGAGACCATTCAGTTCTCTTCACTATTAATAAAGCAAAGAGGTTAGAATTGTGTTGACGCTGATACGAACATCGAAGTTGGTTTTGGCCCTAATTAAAGTTTTGCAGACATTTCGTATGGGTTTGTTTTTTTTATATCAAATTTGCGGTATATTAGCCCCCTGCCTTGGTTATGTTAAGCGGCGGGCGTGTGAACTTGTGCTTTGGACTTGTGGGTCGGAGGTCGACTCAGAAATCGCTTTGCTCTGTGATGCGAAGTCCGATAGTTAATTTTGTAATAAAACTTGTATAACTAACAAATTAATTATTATCTTTTAGATTTAACTTTAACTTTACCATGTTGAACCACTGTCATAAAGAAATATTTATTATTTTATTGTTGCATCGATTTTATTTTGTTATGTTCTGTTTTGTGTTTATACCACCTTATTGTAAATATTTTTTAACTTATAATTGTAACGTTTAGTTTCACGCTGTCGAAGACTTTTTATGTTTTATCTTAGATTGTAATAAATATAATGCATTCATTGTGGATGTAACGATAAATTTATTGGAAATAATATTGATTTGTTTAAACATTGGTATTTTTGTGTTTTAAAAACGGCCCACGTTTCCTTTAACTGTCCTAATTTACTACTACTAATGTACTAGACATATTTGAAGTTTTCAAGAAATTCCGGTCCAAGATACATTTTTTATCCTATTGGAAGTGATTTAGTGAATGGGTCATGTTACTGTCGTCCAATAATATCAAGAAAATCTGCAGCTGTGCTACTGGCTTCAAAATTTCTGAAGGATCCTAAGTCATATTAATTTGGAAGGAACACTACATACCAGTTTTTATTTTACGAATATTATTTAAAGATTTATCTTTTTTTAACAGAGCAAAACAAATGTTTAGCGGAATCTCACTCAGACCATCATTAGAGTTATTTGATTTATCCTGTTCTAAAGGTATTCACACCATTTAAAAGTATTTAATAATAATAATAGATGATTATTTTCTTCATTCCCTTAAAACGATTATTCATTCTAATACCCAAGTCGTTAGTTTCTTGCATGGACTAAGTACGGGCTAAACTGCTTATCCTTAATGCTATAAAAACTAAAATCAATACTCGTCTAAGGGATTAAACAAGTTAAGTGCCATTAGCCGCCTCTGCGTGTAAAACCGGTTGCCGTCGGAAAGATTCACAAATACAAAGCTTTAAGACCTATTTTCACTATATCTTAAACTAGCTGTCGACTCCGTCCGCGTGGATATATAAATAAACTTAATATATAGATAAGTTAAATAAAAAGCAGCTGTTCAAGGCATAAATTCGAAAAAAAAAATGAATTAAAGCCGTTCTTGAGTTATAAATAGTGTAACTAACACGACTTTCTGTTATATATATATATATATAAGATGACTGGAATTTATAACATTAGGAAGTATTGAAAAATGACTCGCCTTATGTTAATACAGCTTAACTTGATGACAGCCTTAAATGTTTTATTTATAGGTTGATTTTTTAATTTAAATGCTCCTACTCTAGATAAGGAAAGTTCCTATGAATTAAATAAAACACATTTTAAAAATAAAATTATTTTATTATGTACCGAGTTTAAAATACACAACACTATAAGACTTCAATAAAATCAATCTTTCGTAACATATAAATCCTAAATTGGAGTAAGAACGCAATTAAAAAATCAAATTATTCGCGATTATTAAATCTAAAAAAAAAGTATTACTACACTTATATGCATTTTTTTGTCATACTTGTTTGATCAAGATACCAATAAAATATAGACAAAAGAAAGCGTGAAATAAAAACACCATCAAATAATTTGTAAAATAAGTATGAAAATTTTTGTAAAAAGTTTCTAGACTCCTTTAATGGTTGACAGCTGTCAAAATGAGGCAGTCCAGTTTTGGTTCCAGTAAAATATCAGAGTGATACGACGCGGTCGCTCTGGAACTTTCGCAAGTTTTGGCGATGCACGATGAATCATCTGAATACGATCATGTGTGAATGGAATGCGACTTTCGAAATTACCGAAATCTTTGCCTGTCTTATTACACACGCTGTAACAAACAAGTGAGTTACATTTTTGCATTTTAATACAGGTCTAATCAAATGTTCAGAAAAAAATCCTAGTAGTTAGCGCTGAAAAAATAAATAGCTCTTCTTATTTCTCCCCCCTTTCTTCGTTATTTAAATCAGAAAGGGGTGTGTTAAACTTGATGAAATTTTAATTAAACTTATGGATTTCTTTGGAATCTTTTTCAATTCAAATTCAAGTCAAAACCATACTCTTTGCATCGTGATGCAACCAGGACATTCTCAGACAGTCAGTCAGTCTTGTGTAAACTCAACCAACGCACACTGGGCCAGGAGTGGTGGACTAAGGTCTAATCACCCTTTACTTTGGTAGGTTTCGAGGTCCTCCTGCTTATGTTCTAACGACTATATTTTACTAAAAATATTAGCATTAAGCACACATTTAATGCCTGATATAAAATCAGTTTTAAGTGATACTATATCAGGCGTTGATCAATTTTAACTATTGCTTAGATATTGTAAAAATACTGAATTCGTAAAAACAATCACTCATAACAACTTATTGATAATCAATATTTGGTTGTTATACAATTTAAGCTTTTATAACACGCACTTATTAGCTACACCTTCATCTCTATATTATTGCAGTACTTTCTAGAAGGAAAATAAATTAAATTTAATTAAATTTATTTAAAGTAAAATACATATTAACTAAATAAATGCATTCCGGTTTTTAACTTGAACATAAAACTTGACATTACTAAAGTCACAAATACACGTTAACCATAAGAAATAAAAATAAATAAGTTACAAGGTCAAGTTAAATAAACAAATATAGATTAGTGTTTTAAATTTTATATTTCGCTGTTAAAATCGAAAGCTACTTTCAGTTTGTTCGGGATGTTATTCATCAACACACAAACAAAAAAAGGTAAAAGGAAAACGTGATGTGCAGCGTAGTCTATGCTAATATTTGCAGGCGTCCTCCGCCTCCGTCGCGCCACTATTTTCCCGCGCTCAACAAATTCGCAACACTTCTTAACCTGTTAGCGGGCAAAGGTATTTGAAGTGTTCTGCCAGTTTATTGATACTTTCGCGGTACTCATAGCAATATGGTTTCTCGTGGAATTCAATATTTCTTTTTCTTCTTGCTTCCTCGGCCGTCGCGTTCATGTCTTGACATGTCGTTGATAAAACGTATAAGCGATACAAACGGACGAAGATCCCACCGACCCGTGAATGTCGGCCGAACTGGGAAGTTCGTCCGGGCGTAGCACTTGATACTTTTTCTTTCTTCTTTGTTCATGTTTTCTAATTTATTTTTGATTCTTCTGCCATGTGACGTACGTTTTATAGTTCAGTTAAAACTAACAAAATTATAACATTATAATTTTTTAACATTAAAAAACTGTAAATTTGTGTCAAAACATGTGTTAAAATCTTTTACTTACCAATTTAACTAACACTGAAAACTTTTTAAAATATTAATATCGCAGGAAACAAACTTTCACTCGATACCAGATTACTTATTTTAATTCAATTTATTTATTTATATAAATTACAAGGAGTATGAGAACAGCAATTATTTCACCTGTAATGTAGAAGTGTATTAGCGATTAAGGTGTCTCGATGGCGCGGACGAGGCGAGCACACCAAACGCGCGCTGCCTTCCGACGACCTTCGGCCGGCGCGAGCGAGCGAGCGGCGCCCGCGACGCCGGTGAACGAACTCACCTTGACAAATGCACCATTTGGCATTGTTCGCGGGAAAACCGGCGGCCTTGCGCGCCGCCACTGCCTCGCCGCCGACCAATCGCAAGCCTTCGCGCCATAACCGCGCCTGTTTCGGCGGGAACCGCTTGGACCGGCGCTGTCCGCTTGGCGCGCTGGCGGCGCCACCGACACGTTTCAGCGCTCTTTTTCAAAGCAACTTCGCACGCGACCTGAAATGTGCATTAGTTTACATTAGCTCAGGATTGTTCACGTTTTAATTTGCTTTAAGTGTTATTGACATCTGATATATTTTTATTTATGTATTTATAGGTTTTGGACTCACAAAACTGACGTTTGTTTGTTCATAAAACGTCAAAAACATTTATTACCAAAATGGCGCTGGCGGATGCAACTTAAATTGTGACGTCAAAGTAGTTAGCAACTGCGCGCCATCACTATATTAACCACCCACTGCTATGGAAAAGTAGATATGGCGCGAAAATTTAATTAAAAAGTTTCTCAAAGCTACAATTATAGAAATTTCAAGTTGATAATCAATGTGTCAAATGCAATTTTTTAAATCTGATCTAGTTGTAAACCAACGCTAATATTGTAATATTTACATTATGTTTGAAAACTATTCGTTGTTTGTTTCAAAATAAAAACTAGAAAACTCTATACAGTAATTAGAACTTTTCCAGTTTATGATTACACCATCCATTTTTAGAAAATGGCTACTATTAACGTCAAACTTGTATTAAACGCTCTATATCAAGGTAAATTATATCTATGTAGGATTAATACTTGACTACGACATTGTAAACTAAATTAAAATTAAAAAGCACATCATCAAAAGATCTTATATTATAATTTAATTCGAATATAATTAAAAAAAAACTTTTATGAAGCGAAACAAATGACGATTATAATTAAGCGTGGTCATTGGACTTATATTACGAAAGAGGCTGTATTCTAAGACCAGAGTCATTTTACCAACCGCAAATCTTCGCGACTACATCATTATTTTTCATTTATTTCAAAGTTTTTTTTAAATTACATTAATCATCTCGTATGGTAAAAGTATTTCTTAACGGAATCTAATACACGTTCCCACATTGTATTTTTACAATAACCAAATAGGTTATAATGATAATTAAATAAATATAATCATAAATCGTGATCAACGTGTAGAATAATATAAAAACGGAATGATTAATGATATTTTCATTACTTTTTTGTTTAATTTAATAATAAAATAAAAAGCCGTGATTATTATGAATCGTTATAGTATAGCTAGAAAAATTATTTAATTTTGTACTAATTTTAAATATGGCCTAATATTATGTAAACGATAAATTCTATAGGTTTAGAACAATGATTTCGCCCAGGAATCCCTAGGGTTCGCGGAAGATCCGGTGGAGGTGCATGATGAGGGGAAATAACGTTCAGTGTCCATAACTTGGACATCATCGCGTTAACATGTTGAAGCTATAGAGGGTTCATTTAAGGCAGTCAAAATTAAAATTAAATCTACGAGAACCAAAAAATTTGCAAATGTTTAGTATAGTAAAACATTTTCAGAGTGGCAATGACAAGTGCATTAATATTAATGGAACATGGACATCGGAACAAGCATTTATTAAATTAACTAAATTAATATGATAAGGTAAAAGACGGATTTTTACTTTAAGAAATTAGAAAGATTATTAAGTGATTGTAATGGTGAGTTATAATTTAATTATCAATACCTGTGAATAAATAAAAAAGTGTAATGAGTAAGTAACACTTGCAGTTGTCCGTGTAAGTTGAGTGCGGCTGAGGACGTGCCGTGACTCAGATGTCGTTCACCCGGTGGACGCGTCATCATTATACTGATATACAAACTTTGTAGTTGCTCGCTAATTTATACGCGACTGCACAACAAAAAGAAAACTATTTAAACTGCACTACAAAGATGTAATTATTGTGGAGGCAAAAATTTCGGGCGATGATGTCTAGCGGAGCAAACCTCCACTTGTAGGAGCACCCACGCTAAGGCATATGCTCGCAGTTAACCACAAGCCGCAATAAAGTTTGAATCTTATAGTACACTCCGACATTATATTTGACGCCACTTTTTCACTTATTGTATCCACTCTAGATTCTAGATATTTTTTAAAGCATGGTATCAGCTATCTGTTCGATCAAAAATTACCGATGTCGAACTTTTGATGTTCGAATCCATGTTGATTGCCTAATGAAATCTAAACCGATTTTTATAAATTATTCATAAGAAAGCTATCCAGAAATAACATCTTACACAAACGATATTTTAGTTTACGTATTAAAAAAAATATTAGTACGGTTAGGCCTAAAATAAGATTGATAACGTGAAGTCGCCATTGAAATGGCAAACGATAAGTTACTTTGTAATACGAATAGTTGTCAGGAATATGGTTCGGGCGTGGGGTAATCTTCGTTATCAAATTGGGATGTGACGTCACACTTGGCTTTATCACACGCACATCTGTTTTTTATCAGAGATTTGATTGTGTCTATAACCTGCTATCTTGTACTGTCTCGCGAACTTTCACCATTTTAATGCTATTTTATAAAGATACCAAATTGTAATTATGCCGTATGCGTATGTTATTCTATTAGGTGCACGTCTCAAATTATGTACGTACGAACTTTTCATAATTTACAATAGTAAGTGGCACTTTATTATCTTTTCAAAATTTTTAAAACATCTTCATTATTAAACATTTCTGGCATAAATATGTAAAAAATTATTTTTCTAAATTATAAATGCGCTTATGAATGGATATGTAAATGTATATTAGTTTGAAGAAATAATTCTTATTTGGAGATGACCGTCTTCGTTTGATTTAATTATAAATGAATATTTATTGAGTGTACGTCCGTTGAGTCACTAGGCCGACTGGAATGGTCGCTTGTTTGTGAATTAGCTGACAAGAGAATTATAGTGTATGGAAACTTGAAACTGCTGAAACGGTTATTAGACTCGAAAACATGTTTACTTGATGATGCATAAAAGACTGGTTTTATAATAACTGTATAAATAATATTTTACAAAAACAATTTTACTTGAAATATCTAAAATAAGTTTTTTAATAGTTGTGTTAAAAATGTAGGCCATTTTGTTATTTTCATATGATTATCAAAAATATCTACATTTCTAAACTAGGTGTTATTCTGAATTAAAAAAAAATTTAACTTCGACGCATAAAGGTTAATTTAAGTATAGGAATAAGTTGAGTCGAGCGATAATTTAAACATTTAAAAGATGTATTTCAGAGAGTTTGAATTAATATTAGAAATTGAATTATAATTTACTGTGTAAAAGAACAACTTGATAATAATGAACAATATACATTTCTAAGAATCAAACTTCCTATATATCGCATTGGGAAACATTGACCGCATGGCGACCACGTCCTTCCGGCCACACTATTGTTATTCAAAACACATTGCCACGTGACATGTGATTAAATTTAGGCATTCGGCATACTCATATCAAGTCGGAATTTAAAAAAAAATGTGCTTTAAATTATATCATGATTTAAAGATGATTCAGTTATCACTAAGGGAAGCTTCACTTAGTATTGATTTAACATATTAAAGCACACTAATAATTTATTTTTTAATTTTTTACATGAAACATAATATATTAAAAATAAGGTTAATAAATGAATAAGTACCTACATACATTATTTTACAAATGTTTAATGATCCAATTACAACATACAATTAATTGATTGTTACCCACTCTGAGTGCAATAAGATAGGTGAAGGAATCCTTACAGGAAAGAGTATAGGTATAGTGCGAAAAAATATCTTGGGAACCGTCTATGTAACCTGGAATGTCTTATTTCAGTAGAAAATTAAGAATATATGTAATTAATTACCTTAATCTTGTCATATTAATATTTAACATTTCTTGAATTTGTATATTGTGACGATTATCTGTAACAAAAAAAGAAAAAACAATTAGGTAATGATAAAATAATCGGTTCCGTGTAGCTAGGCAGCCCTGAACCGATTTGTCCACGGCTGCGTAGCTACACCCCTCCCTGATACAGCCTGTCACTAGTTTTGTAATGAAGCCCGCCATTTCTATTTATTCTTTTTTTTCTGACTTATAAAAGTCAATTGACAACATATTTTTCATAACTATGCTATCAGTATTAAAAATGTGTAAAAAGTAAAGGAAATATATATGAAAAGTAAGCCGACTACTGTGTGTTAATTTCACAATTTAAAATTATAATTATTACTCAAAGAAAAACATTAATTCGTTTTAATATGCTATCATTAATAAAGTTTGTTAAAGACTTGATCTTAATACGTCTTTTTATGCCACAGAGTATAAGTAGAGATAACAATCAATGTTCGTACTTCGGCAAAATAATTAGTTATCAGACGTGACAGGAAATAAGATCACAGCCCCCGGATTAAAATTAGTAAATACACGAGTGTAACTACAAGATATCGTTTTTATCCAAATGATCGCAATTGAATTAAGTAACTGAGGAAAAATTAATGATGATTAATTTAAGAAAGAACTTTCCGTTCGAAGCTTAAAGTGGCTTATTTTAAGTAATTAAAGTTCTAATATTTTTTTCGAAATAACCAGTTTCGAAATCTCCAAATTGGCAACTGGTTGCTGACACACGAGTGCTTACATAAATTTTGCTTTATTTTACTGTTGGAGTTTTGAACAAATTCAAATATTTTTGTTTTCTGTAAGTTTATATACGTTTATAACTTTTTACTTGTTTTTTTATTCTTTACATCTTCCTTTACTTTTGTCATCTAATTTTTTAATTGGTTTAAGAAAAAAGTAAAAGTACTTTATTTTTTCCTTGAAATTAGAACTGGCCGTGCATTATCTACATAATATGTCGTGTCATCGCGGCCATGTCGTTTGTGACGTCACATCAGCTGAGTCGGCCGAAAAGCGCGCCGAACGCGTTCCAGATATTTTTAGTCTGTGATGAAAACAGATGATTCCGAACAGGAAATTGTTACGATGCGCTCATAATCGATTTAGATGAGATAATTTTAGTGTTTGTATTAATCAATATTACCGACCAACTCATAGTTACATTTGTATAAATTGGCACCGAATGTGGCACTTGGCATTTGTATCGTTACATACAATGTAACCTACAAGAAAGTTGCAGATGCGTTCTGTTTTTTTATTGCTTCTTATTCGAACCATCTGTTATAAAAGTAAAACTATATAAAACATACTGAACAGTGTAAATATACGAACTCAAAGTTTCCACACTTACTAAAGTGGCCGATGTGACTAATTTTGACTTCAAATGTTCATGATGTGACAAATATGTGGCTGCTATAATTTCATTATGTTCTGTTATGTCAAATCGTTATCATGACAGCGCACAGCTGTGGAACTCGTTTGAACCGGATTCCTGAGGGACGCCAGAGCCCGTGCGCCGACAACCGATCGGTCAGCTAATTCACAAAAAAATATAGACGCATGCCTTAGCAATGCACTCGCTGTACACGTTCCAAATGTCAACTATTATAATGAGTTCTCGCGTTTCCACCTGTGCAGTTAAATTCACATAAGTGTCAAAATAATAAAGATACTAGACGGTAAAGGTTAGACTTATTTGTCGCAACTTAGTGCAAAAAAATTGTTGTAAGGATAAAAGGTGTTGCTATTTTTTAGGGTTCCGTACCTCATAGGAAAAAACGGAACTCTTATAGTTTTTCAGTAAAAAATAACGCTTATAAACGAACACTCGGTTTGTGTCGTGGTGACGTTTCGAGTGATGCTATCCACGATACACGTATTACAAGACCCCGATTAATATAACGCCCATCGTCCAAACGTTGATTATATAATTGATCTGGCTGGCCGTTTCGAAGCAGATTGAAATGGTCAATTCCAAGAACTGACCACAGTATACATAAAACAAATGCGTTTTTTTAATACCTAAACTTTGTGTTTAATAATTCTAGGCATAAAATAAGCATTTCTTTGAAGCGGGCAAACAAACAAATGAGTCACACAGTTAAGTAACCACCGGTGCCCATCAATATGGTAATCAAATTACGAATGCGGTAACAGCCGGTTCATAGCAAAGGTGTATATTTAAATATTAAACCAATATTTTTTTTAAAAACTCTAAAAAAAAAATTATGCCAATGCATTTTAACGCATTCGATATCTTAAGTTACGTTTTGTTTAAAGGAAACCTTCAAATACTTCAGTGATATGAAAATTTTACGGAAATAAAACAGAAAATATGCCAAATTTTTGTCGCTTGCAAAATATGAATGAGTCATTTGGCACAGTGTTACACTGTGCTCGGAAGACTACGCAATGTGCAAGTATAATTAGATAGGAGAGCGTCCTCGCTCGTCCAAAACATTACGCTAAACAACTCTTAAAATGTTTATCATACAATTCGATCAACGTTCTTGTACAAAATATTAAAAGTCATTATGTTAAGTAATCATTACATAACTAAACTACGTTAGAAAAACATCAATGTTCCGCGCAAAAATGTCAGTCACAAATAGCCAAAATCATAATAGAGATGGGATTTGAGGAAGAAACAAGACAAATGGTTCATGAGCTTATGTGTGATTATATGTATTTAATTACTATAATAACTTCTTTGATGTCATGGCAACCGAAATGGGATACTTTAAAGTTCACAGCGGTGTAGAAAGCGCACACTTTAATGTCCTAATTAAAGAATTCCCGGCGCCCGTCCGTCAAGGTTCGTTAACTGATTAGATTGTTCATAGAACGAAGCGGATGCCTCTCTCCCGCACACCTCTATGCCTTATCATACGTATACCTTCAAGTATCAGGTAAAGATTATAATTTGTCCGTAACAAGAGAGATATAATCGTATTAATTTGATAAATATCGTCAAGAATTGGCTTCGTATTATCCCCATGATTTGAATATCTATTATTATCAAGATAACATCTGACTGATATATTTTGCTTTACATTTGCATATAATTTTTAAAATTTTGTAATAATTTAGGACAGAATTAGAATCCAGGTAGTTACGCAATGGTAGAGACTCTACAATTTGGTAAGAGTTATTAATTTTCTGCTGTAAAGTGTTGGTGATTTGATTATATCCGCACTATTTCCTCCTTTCACAAGTGTGTTTCGATGTTTAATTTATTATTGTAGATTTCTTTGAACCTAGTTCACCTGACGTTTCTGGATTTGAGCCAATATTTTTCCGGAAAAAGTGTAGGTGTTGATGTTTATATGTATACTTTTCCACATTCCGTTCTAAATATACGAGTGACGAGGCTGACGTGACGTACGCTCCTGTCAGCCGGCTGACGTCAGCAGCTTGCAGCTAGCCTACCCACTGAATCACGCGCAACGCCTGCCCTCCGCGAGCCGCGACCGCCTCTCATTGATAGGCCCACTTTATCTATAGGCCGTTTTGAACTCCAAATTTTATGTTGAGATTTACTTCCGAAGTTCTTTTATTAATTTTCTCGGTGTTCACTTCTTTATTAATTAAATTATTGCATGTAAAAATGCTTAAAGTATAGTATTGATGATTAAAGGATGTTCAAATCTTGTGGTGGAGGAAAAAAATTTTTTTGCCTTTTTTTTTGTAATAAGCTTAGATGAAGTAATATGGATTGTTACGATTAACTTCTATAAAAAGTTTATTTTTCACCTATTTCCTACCATAATATTCGTAATGCCTAATAAGCTGATTAATTTGCAGCTTGTATAAATATACATTCTTACAGAAACGTCACTTGAGGTGTAAGATGCAACTTTGTATCAAAATGTAAACGGATTTATCTGTCTGATAGCTCACTTTCCGCTCGAGAAGAATGGTCAATAATGATAGAACACATGGTACTTACTGCGTAAGCATGTTTTTATGATTAATATCGACTTTTTTGCACAAAAATAGCTTCTGATTTACAAAGTAGCATTTTGGCAAGATATTATATGATTTTAACTAAGTTAAATGCAATAATTTAGTTTAAAATATCATTTTTGTTTACTTCATCATGCGAAAAGCGTTGCAGCCAATAAATTTTTAGCCAATTTTTCTGCCTTGTAGGTTATTGCATTCAATTTTTGCAACAATGTATTTTAGGTTTTAAATATGAACTCTAAGTGAAGAGCACTAAGTATTTTTAATTATTATGTAAAATAGTACAAAAAAATTTAAGTTACAAAATTCTACAGAGTAAAAAATAATTTACCAATGATCCAAAATAAGGTATTTTGTTGAAGTGAACAGATTTATTTAGATGTAAACTGGAATTGAGAGGGTTGGTACTTAGTAACAGTGGGACTGTGCCGCAAACCGGGCCGTGACTCATTCATCGGACCTGCGAGCCTGCGACTGA